CTAACATCTCGCGAATGCATTCTTGCTGTTCCTCAGGATCCAGTGGAGTGAGTCATTCACCATCTTCCATTTTTACTTTTGTAAATTTTTTTCGTTGAGAAACACTGGGCAATAAAAACCCATATCTTTTCAGTCTCCAAGTTTTGCACTGGTTTTCAGCGTTGAACTACATGATGTAACAAGAAACATTACTAGAATTATTTGCATCTACTCGAAAAAACCCTTTTCTCACATAAGTTTACATGTTTTGTACCTAAACAATCCTTTACGCATATACATTCAAAACCCACGATGATAAAGTGTGGTCTGAGAAACTCATTATTCATTTCATAAATCTTGTTTTACATACTTAAAATAAACATATTTTGTTAGAAAATAACAATAAATTCTTAGCCAGATTAAAAGAAATGTGTTAAATATTCACATTTTCGTCATTTCCCATACAAAATGTATGTGCATACCCGGGTATGCTACTGTTGACGTACGTATAATTTTCCTGCTGTTAACATGAAGGTTAACCAAAGTTTATCACTTTATCAAACGATTTTGGTGGATAAATGCATAAATTTCAGCCAAATTAAACCCTGACAGGTTGCCAGGTGGTCGCTTTTGCTACGAACACATAAAAAACAAATGTACACAATGTACGAGGTAAGAATGAAACGCAACTAGTCATATAAGTTAAATAATAAAAAAAAGTTACGCAGTCATTTACCAAGGTGCGTTCATGTAAGAATGTTGATAAACTGATAAATTTATCCCTTTATCACTTCAGATGACCCCTATTATGTCAAAACAACTGATATCAAATATGGTCTCAACTAATAGCCCAGTTATGCATACTTAGCGTTGCATGAGAGTTGTCGCGTAAGAATCTGTTAAATGGGCTTTGCGTGTAAGCGGTTACCGAACGCATAGCACTTAACAGGTAGAATTCTGTAGGGTTTTGATTTTTACGTAAAAATGGAATAGCAGTGCAAGTATGCATAACTGGGCTATAACAGCTGTTCATTTGGTGTCAACTGCGTTTTCATTACATAATAAAAACTGATCAAATGTAGATATCGCAGTGCATATCAAAGATTGCCGTCAAATTTTGGTATCATATATACATACATATCAGGGTTGTTGCGAATATTCGCATTTGCATTCGCAACCGCGGAGCCCCCCATTAATTTTACCATTCGCTTTCGCTTCCGTAATTCGAATATTGAAGGGACCGAAAATTACAGTTATTTTTTTACGGTAGTTAAACTGGGCCAAATATTGTTTTACCGCTTATCCAAATTAAACAAGTTTGGTATCCAATGAAGAGGACTTAAATAGCTTTAAAACTGAAATGTCTAAAAGCCACAGATTGAAAAATATTTCAATAAAAAATGTTAATTAATTACCATAGAACAAACATTGTGTCGGGTATGTATTTACATGAATTTCTTTAGTATTAAGTTATAAAAAAATATAAATAGAGGTGGTAACCTTCATTTGTAATTAAATTTAAAAGCTATTTCAGTCCTCTTTCATATTATACCAAATTTGTTTAATTTGGATAAGCGGTTTCTTTATTATCCGAATAGGACGTTTATTTTGGAATAAAAATTATTAGGCCAAATTTAACTCGGAAAAACTAACTGTTATTTTCAGTCCCTGGGATATTGTACAAGTGCACAGACGTATATCTAACCAGTCACAGAAGAAAGCATTAAAAATGAGGCACAAAAACTAAAATCGAAAAAGGCTGATGATGTGACAAATTCCGAAACAACCAAAAGAATGAGAATGAAGAATTCTTTCGAAAAAACGGTGTTTAAACAACGATTGTGCCATGATGCTAGATTGTGAAGACGAAAGTCAGGAGGAGTACATCCGACATTTGCAGACCCGATGAAATTCCCAAAAAGTAATTATTGCACCGCAATAAAAATAAATAAATATAACTGAAAGTCCTTTCAACTGGTGCAGTGTCAATCGAAAAGAATTTACAATTTTGCCAATTTCAACTTTTTCAAGTTTGTCGCCTCGAGCGAGTAGTTACATATATAGTGGCGCAGGTTTGATTTACGACACTTCAAGAAGTTTTTATTAAGTACAATCTTCCAATTTTTAAATTCAAGTACTAAAAAACATTCAGTCTTATCATGAGTTTAATTTTCCCCGAACCGGTTCACTTTTGGTTTCCAAGTACATATTTACTATGGGCGGAATACAAATTTTCGGGTGAATTTTTTCGGGCAAAACTCAGGATAAGGCAGATTATTACAAAATTTTTAACCTTTCCATTTTTTATTTACCTAAATCACCTAATTTACCCACCTAAATTATTTCTTAAAAATACATGACATCCGCATTCGCATCCGCATCCGCATCCGCGGATGTTAGCTTTTAAACATCCGCATCCGCATCCGCGGATGTCTAAAATTCCACATTCGCAACATCCCTAATACATATGTATAATTGTGTGTATAGGGAAGGAACGTGAAATATGTAAAAATTTCTTTTGTTTCTTCAAAGGAAGAAATACATCGCTACCTAAAGGTGAAAAGGTGCCAAGTCAACTTTTTTTCAAAATTTAGTTTTAGATGCAGAATGACAGATAACGCGAACCTGCATCGATGCGGGTAATTAATATTTTTTTTATGAGAAGCTGTTTTCCATGGCACTGCCTGGGTAACGCAGCAAATTTTCTGGCGCCGATACCTTGAAGCCAGCGCCATAACCGGTATCAACGCATTAAATCAGCGCAATTGCGCCATGCAGTCTCTTTTCGCATGGTGCTTCATCATGCTTCTTTTGGCGCCATTCTGGCTTCTTTTCGCGCCATTCTCTCTTATTTTCCCACCATTCTGTCTTCTTTTCGCGCCATTCCCTCTTATTTTCCCGCCATTCTGTCTTCTTTTCGCGCCCTTCTATCTTATTTTGACAGAACATCATCGGCTAACATCGCGCATCCCTAGTTTGTGCAGCAACGAGAATAGACGGATGGTTATTGAGCGCTCATAAGTGGGACGTTTTGGCTATATATACCAGGTTTTATGAAGTTTTTGAAAGGAAATATTAAGAAAAGATTTTCAACTTGCAGTCCGGTAAAGTAATACACAAAATACATAATTTCTTTACATTGCCAAAGCAATGGATAAGTTGAAAAACATAACCACCGCATCGTGGTTGTGAAAATATCGGCATGCCGTGAAAAAATCTTAAGAAAACCACTCACAGCTGGGAAAAGGAGGTAGCTGAGTATAACATCACACTAGGGGTATTCTCGAAGTCTTGCACGATGCACGGATTGCACGAAATGCAAAAATACTATTCCAAATTTCGAAGAGTACGAGAACACCCCATTGCAAAGTGGTAGCATGCATGGGGAGCAAGCAGCGAAATTATGTATCAAATACAATAACAAGAGACAGCAAAAAAAAATTAAGTGAGCGAGATGAGAGGAATGAGAGAAATATGTAGCAATTCCCACAACAAAACAACTAGCACAGGGTCGCTATTATCTTGCTATGCTATTTTGCAAAATATATACATGGGTTTCGACGTTGCATATTTTGCAGCGATAGGAAATGTTGTTTCCCATGAATTTTCTTGTTGTGTGTTTGCAATTTATGCAATCCGTGCAATCCGTGCTACGTGCAATGGCTTTGCAAGATTTGGAGAATACCCCTATTGAGTTTTTAAAAATGCAATGCAAATCGGATATTGTTCAAGCGAGTGTGCTAAGCTCCCAGACGTTTGTGCGAGTAGTAGAAGATGGTGTTTTAGAAACGACGAATGTGCTAAAAATGTTGACTTCCTTGCTGCCCAACTCAGGTAAGTTAATGTTCTTGTATTGTTCTTCTTTTGTCAAAAGTGTATAACATTTCTTGTGCATATAACTCCGGCTCCGGTATCCACAGAATTTTCGCACTTAACTCCTTTCGAGTAGGCGGCCTTCGGCCGCGGTTTGGGATTATAATCCATACTAAGTAAAATTCTCCTTTCTGTGTTGCCGGAGAAGAAGGGCAGACACCTCTTCTTTTGTCAAGGGTATATAAAATGTCCAGTGCAAGCGAAAAAACGCCAGTGAAAATTGTGATTTTGGGCAATTTTTCTAAGAAACCTGAAATATATATAGAATTTTTCTTGAATTTCTTTTTTTGTATGATGCAATTAAAATGTTTCATTATTGGCATGACAAAAACCAATAATCTATGTCCATATTCAGTAATTCGAAAGCTTTATTAGTATAATCCGGTTCAACCTTCCTTAGGGCCAGTTTAATTTTGGATTAAGTAAACTGAGTTTAAATTGAGCAGCTGGCTGACATTTGATTGGCTGATCTTAGTTAAAACCAGCCAGATCGGCCGTTTAAAGTTAGTTTAAACCACGGCCGTGCACTGAAATAACTGAAAACTGAAAATCAGTTTTCTTTAGATTTTCGATCCCGCCACTTACACTAACTTATGCACTTGTATGTATATACTTATTTATTATTAAAATATTTAGTCCGATAGAGTACACCACGATCACCGAAGGAATTGTCAGCATACCATTACTTGGAAGCGAAATCTTTCAAAATCAATTTGGTTTGAAAACGCAACAACATCCCATTATACCGTTATTACAAAATCAATCGGTAAACATAAATGACGTGGCCCACAAAATTGTCGGTATTTTCAATCATCATAATCAGCAGTAGGTAACCTGTAATATTCCTTAATAATATTTTTCATTCAAATTCCTCATTTCTTACAGAAGAAAGGAGCACATTGTTGCGTATTTAAGGCCGATCTTCCTTTAAGTAAGCTATAATCCACAGACGTTGCCCAATTCAAAGACTATTTGGACTGGCTTGCTATCATTAAGCAAAGCAAATCTCGCGGAGTAATTTTAACTCTTCCACAACATCCTTGTTCACAAGCATACTACTAATTGAAGCTATAGAACACTGCCTTACGTTTTATATTCAAATTTTGTTGGCGTTTCAATACAACAAAATAATAATAAAATAATAAAAAATGTCATCTAATAAGAAGAGTGACGTGTGGTTGCACTTCTCGGAGGAGAAGGATAAGAAGGTTAAGTGTAAGTTGTGTGGTCAGCAGTTGTCGGTGTCAAATAAATCGACTTGCGGCCTTATTCGTCACATGAACAGACGACACCAGTTCCAGAGAATCTCTAGACAGGCGCAACCTGTAGAAGAAGTACTTCTTGACATCGAAGGCAGTGAGCTCAACAACAACATCAGTGAAGTCAACAACAACATCAGTGAAGTCAACAACAACACCAGTGCAGTCAACAACCATAACCCCCATCAGCTCAACAATAGCACAGTAGCACCGCAGGTCCCTGCTCAGATCCAACCACGGGCATTAAACGCATCGCAGCCACAAGTAACAAACTTTTTATATAAACCTCTTCCAATAAAGAAGCAGCGCGAAATCGATCAACAGGTATTAAAAATGATAGTCCGTGAATATCATCATTTCAGTGTAGTAGAAGACATAGAATTTAAGAAGTTGGTGTTTCTCCTGAATTCCAATTACAAGCTTCCAAGCCGAAAAACCATTTCTTCCTCATTGATTCCTGCCACATACAACGAAACAGTAGAAATTGTTAAAAAGCGGTTAGAGAGAGCTTATGCCATATGCTTAACTATGGACGGGTGGACTTCTCGTGCTCAAGACAGCTTTTTCAGCGTTACCGCTCATTATGTTGTAGAAAAAGAAAAAAGAACATTTCTTGCGTCGGACTTACTAGCTTGTAGTGCTTATGCGGAAAGGCACACTGGCGAAAACATTACAAAAAAAAAATGATTGAAATTTTTAATGAGTGGGGAATTTATAACAAAACAAGTAAGAGCAGCGCTGTCTTCGGCTATGCCGAAGGCTTCATACCTTTCATGAACATCTGCAAATTTTACTTTGACAGATTACTGCTTTTGAATACATCTGCATACAACGATAGAGGAGTTACATACTTATATAAAAAATCGCATCTAAACAATCAGAGGTATGGAAGATATACTTTATATGACACCAATCTAAGTGATTTTCACCGCTATGTGATCGGTATGTAAACCGGTAACACAATTTATTGGGTTTAGTTTCGTACATAAAGGAGATATATGGCAAAAACTGGTATCTTAACAATCAGTGCTATAGGAGATAAAGCTTATACAGCATAGATTTTGACGATTTTCTCAGTAGACTTTGTATTATTATTTATAAAATATCTTACGAAATTTATCGGTTTTAGCTGTTCAAATAAAGGAGTTTTACAGTAAAATCCCATATCTGAACAATCAGATGTATGGAAGATATATGTTGTAGTCATCCGATCCTTGTTATTTTCACTGTAAGTATTCTGTTAATAATGAGTGAAAATGGTGCGAAATTTCATGTTCCTAGCTGCATAAATGGAGGAGTTATGATAAAAGACCTCATATCTGAACAATCAGTTGTATGGGGGCTGCAGGTTATAGTAACCCGATCTTTGTTATTTTCGCTGTAAGTCTTCTTTTGATAATGAGTGAAAACAGCGCGAAATTTCATGGTCCTAGCTACATAAATGGATGAATTATAACGAAAAATCTCATATCTGAACAATCAGTTGTATGGGAGCTATAGGTTATAGTTACCCGATCTTTTTAATTTTCACTGTAAGTTTTCTGTTGATAATTATTGAAAACAGTGCGGAATTTCATGTTCCTAGCTATATAAATGGAGGAGTTATAACGCAAAATTTTATATCTCAACAATCAGTTGTATGGGAGCTATAGGTTATAGTGACCCGATCTTTGTAATTTTCACTGTAAGTATTCTGTTGATAATGGGTGCAAGTATTGCAAAATTTCATGTTCGTAGCTGCATAAATGGAGAAGTTATAATGAAAAATCTCATATCTGAACAATCAGTTGTATGGGAGCTATATGTTATAGTGGTCCGATTCTTCTGGTTCCGACAAATGATTAATACATTATAAAAATACACCCACCTACCAAATTTAATCCGGATATCTCGAAAACTGAGAGACTAGATTGCATACAAACAGACAGACAGACGGACATGGCTAAATCAACTCAGATCGACGTTCTGATCATATAAGTATACATTTTCATGGGTCTATCTCTTTTTGTTCTGGTACTTACAAACATCGGACCAAAGTTATAATACCATATCATGCTCATGAAAAGTATAATTACTGTTGTGGTAACTGACAATGCTGCGAATATGAAAGCAGCGGTGCGCGGGGGAGGCTGGCGCCATTGGGGTTGCTTTGCACATTCCTTAAATCAAGTTGCACAAGCAGGATTAAAGGAAATAGAACCTGTTTTATGTAAAGTTAAATCAATTGTTAGGTTTTTTTCAAAGAGTAGTCATGCTCATTCAAAACTTAAAGCTACGTTAGAATCAATGCACCAACCAGTATTAAAGCTCGTCAACGATGTACCTGCATGGTGGAATTCCACTTATGAGATGCTAAAACGATTTTTAGTTCTTAAGGATGCAGTTATTACCACTTTAGCTTTGGTAAAATCGTCTATGCCGGTCAGAGACGAAGAATTACGTACAATTAATCTCTTAACTAGCGAGGATTGGTTAGTAGCAGAGCAATCTATGAAAATTATGGAAATGTTTGAAATTATTACTACTTTAATAAGTGTCGAAAAGCACATTAGTGCATCATCCTTAATATTGTATATAAACAATTGACCAAGCATTTGAAATCATTTAATATTGCGGAACTAACTCCCTCTGTAGAAAAGCTATTAACTAGACTATTAAGTGAACTGAATGAAAGGTTTAAAGATATTGAACTAAACGAATTTATTGCGCAAGCAACAATTTTGGATCCAAGATTCAAAAAATTTGGTTTCATAAACGAAATGGCTTATAATTCGAATATTCAAAAATTATACTCGAGAGTAGCTAACACAGTTGTTCAAAACTGCGAAAATTTTGTTAGGGATGAAAATCCCAATCAATGCAATTCGGTTGTAGGCGGGATAAATAGCGATCGATTAGAATTAATATGGAAGGATTTTGACGCTGAAGTTCCGAAGCACACAAGGCCAGGAAATCAGATAGCATCTGCAATTGTAGAAGTAGATAAATACTTGTCAGAGCCTGTCTTACAGCGGAAAGATTCTTCCGGAAAGCCTAATGATCCACTGGTGTGGTGGCATCAAAGAAAACATATTTATCCCCGATTGTACCAGCTTGTCAAAAAACGACTGTGTATTTCCGCAACATCTGTTCCTTGTGAACGTATATTTTCACACGCTGGGCAACTTGTTAGCGAAAAACGCGAGAGCCTGAAATCAAGTAAAGTATCTCAAATTGTTTTTTTAAACTATAACTTAGGTAACAATGATTTTTAAACAACTTCCTGATCTTTTATCAAACTGAAAATTTTAATTCATGATCTCTGATGTATATGTATAAGCGAAATTAATTGAAAATACACTAAAAAGCATATAAATTCAAAATGAATTTAACCCTCGTCCGTGCGACTAGGTACAATTGTATCTTTTGTGTTTTTAAATTACAATAACTTTTTTTCCAGAAAACTTAGAGGGCTGGATCTTCGTGACATCTCTACATTTTTGTTGCGCCACATGTTCCCTTAATTTAAAACAAAATGGGCCACTATTTTCTGAAATATATTGCCGAGTTAAATTTACACCCACGTCAGAGCGCATAGGTACCCTATTAAGCTGGCATTTCAGGGTACTATTTTATATATATATAAGGAAAATTTGAAAGTTAGGGGGGGCTCGAGCACCCCGTCCCCTACCTGGCTACGGCCAAGTACCATTTCTATTGCACTTCGAAGGAAATGTCTTCTCATCATCATTCGATTTGCACTTCGAGATTCAACTGAAGGCATGCATAGCTGATTGGAGAGATCTTTTAGAAACTTTCGACGTTGACTTTTTCCCTGAAGTCGGGGGTTATGATTTTTGTCGATTATGTAGGATGCTAAACCAGTATTGTGATCGCAAGTAGCAGCAAATATAAACTGAACCAAATAAACATCGCATTATTTATGTTACGGTCAGGGCTGCCAACTATCCTTAGCTATGTGGTCCCATATTAAGGATAAAAAAGTGCTAAAATGTGCCAAATAGAAAAATAAAAGTGCCAAAAACGGTGCCATGCTTTATAACGCTTCCCATTTAGCTAAAAAAAAAGAACCACACTTCTAAAACAAAAGTGCAATGCTAAAATAAGGTGAACCAGTTGAATAACCTTTAGAAATTAGAAAATTTTATTTGAGAAAAAGAAGTACACGCAAAGGATTTCACCAAAATATATTGAAATATTGTATTGTACTAGTATGAAAAATATTGAGTACATACATATGTATGTATAGAGGGTACTAATTGTTATGGTGTACTCGTGCATTTTTCGGAGTGCATGTTATGCAGGCTACTGTGTTTCTATTTTTTACTTTTTTTTAAACAATTGTCATTACAAAAAATTTCTAAACATGTTCCAAATAACGTGTAATGATTAAATGGTATCAGTTTTTATAAAAAAATTAAACCCCCAGTAAAAATTCATATCAAAACTATATGAAGGTACAATTGTACCTCTGCGCCCGGTTAGCGTTGTAAGAATATGCGCCCGGACGAGGGTTAATTCATTATCTCTGATGTATATGTATAAGCGAAATTAATTGGAAAATACGCTAAAAAGCATATAATGCAAAATTAATTTAATTCATGATCTCTGATGTATGTGTATAAGCGAAATTAATTGGAAAATACGCTAAAAAGCATATAAATGCAAAATGAATTTAATTCATGATCTCTGATGTATATGTATAAGCGAAA